GCCAGCTTTGTCCTTTCTCAACCATTATTGCATTCTACGCAAGCCCAGACAAGAGGGGAGTTCTGAAAACCCCACTAATCACAAAACATCAAAGGACATTTTAACGACATATCAAAGTGGTCCAAGTTTTACAAATACCAAGAAAAATGGAACACAACTTTTTTCAAACTCTCTTTATAAGTACATTCTGTTATGTGGCTGCCCCTAAAACTAAAAATTGAGAGGTGATTTCCAAAACCACTGTTGTAGCTTATTTAAAATCCCCTACTCTACCAAACTGGGATGAAGAAAACATCTTACACACCAGTTCTACTTACGGGAAAAGAGCTTTTAAACAATACCATCTGAAAAATGGCTCTCCATGACCAGCTGGACCTCAAGTTAGACGAGAACTAGACCAGAGAAATAAGGCAGAATTTACGAAGCACTATATGGTGACAGAAACAGCAAGGTCCAAGATTGTGTGGACAGGTAAGACAGGTACTGCTGTGCTTGGTTACCTGGTGATAGGAGATTCGGATACACGCGGTTACGTGGGAGTTCACAGGCCACCACTTTGCCTCATGAGTTGAAAGAGCAGCGTCCTAACATGAAGAAGAGCGCTGTGAGCCAAGAGCAAGGTGACAACACAGCTCAAGTCAAACCTGATTTTCATAAATGAACCCAAGCAACTTCACAGCAGCAGGGATACCGTGGGGCTTGCTCCCTTTAACGAAAGGCCCTTGTGACCCTGGCGTTTGCTTTAAACCCGGTTTTGCACACACATCTTTCTACAGACAGCTGCAAAAGAGTCCTCTGGGCGCTCCCAAAGCTTTAAAGACACACCCAAGTTTTTAGAAAAGCATCTCACAAGTAGGAGCTGCCTGACACTGCCTCTCAGCATGGGCAAACGAGGGCAAAGTTCACTCCAGGCAGGGGAAAGTAACCACCCGTTCACCGACACGCTCGCAACTCGTGCAACTGCTGGCACCACAAACCAGACAGACGACACCCGGCACTGTCGCACACACCTTCCAAAGCTCCAGCTCTTGCCCAAGTCCAACAAGACCCAAGAAAAAGGGGCCCAGCCGACCGCAAACAGGGTCCTGGGAACCAACAGCCACAGGGACACAGCCGAGTGCTGGAAGGACAGCAGAGGGTGCGGGACGCAAAGCACACACAACACACACAGCCACCCCCAAACCCGAGGCGGCGGCCACCCAGACCCTTCGAAAGCCCAGGGCCCCGCCACGCGGTCCGGCCGGCTGGGACCCCTTCTCCGCGCCCACAGCCGCTCGAGGCCCCGTGGCCGATGCCAAGAACCGCGAGCCCCGACGTTCACCCCCCAGGCCGCTCGCCCACCTCCCGGGAACGCGCCTCTCGGGCCCCGGCGCCCCGGGAGCCCGCTGGCGGCCTTCTGGCGGGGACAGACAGCCCCCCGAGCCCCAGAAAGG